TTTTTATTGTTTATTTTTCAGTCGAGTGAACCATTAGTTGATGAGAGGGGGACACTGAGGTTCCCCACTGTTATTGTGCTGGAGGTGACCTGTGACTTTATCTCTAATAGCATTTATTTTATGAAATTAGGTGCCCCTGTATTTAGAATATATCTTTAAAATTGTAATATCCTCTCGATACATTGTTCCTTTAATCAATATAAATGAACTTTATCTCTTCTGACTTAAGCTAAAAGTCTATTTTTTCAGATATTAGAACAGCAAACAATGCCTGCTAACTTTCTAGTTTCATTTGCTTAAAATATATATATTTTTTATCACTTCACAGTTAAGTACTGTCTGTCTTACATGGTGGGGTGTGTTTTTTAGATCCAAGTAGCAGCTGGATCTTGTCCTTTAATACAATCTGTTAGTCTGTCCTTCTTTGTGTGTTTTAAAAAATTACTCTTGGGGCTGGAAAGATGGGCTCAGCAATTTGGAGCACTGACTGACTGCTCTTGCAGAAGATCTGGGTTTGGTTTCTAGCACCTACATGGCATCTAGCAACCATCTGTAACTCCAGTTCCAGGGGATCTGATGCCCTCTTCTGACCTCCATGGGCATTGCACAGGTGCATTTATACATATGCAGGCAATATACTTACACACATAAAATAAAAATACTAAATATTTTTAAAAATAAAAACATACTTTTACAAATCGATATATATATATAATTCACTTTGATCATGCTTTCACAAATCGATTGTATATATATATATTGAATGCACTTTGATCATGCTCTCACAAATCGATTATATATATATGTGTGTGTGTGTGTGTAAAATGCACTATGATCATGCTCTCACAAATCGATTATATATATATGTGTGTGTGTGTGTGTAAAATGCACTATGATCATGCTCTCACAAATCGATTATATATATATGTGTGTGTGTGTGTGTAAAATGCACTATGATCATGCTCTCACAAATCGATTATATATATATGTGTGTGTGTGTGTGTAAAATGCACTATGATCATGCTCTCACAAATCGATTATATATATATGTGTGTGTGTGTGTGTGTGTGTGTAAAATGCACTTTGATCATGCTCTCATTATCCTCTCTTCTTCCCCTCCCACTCCCACAAAATCACTTCTACCCAACAGGCCCCTTCTTTTTCCATTTTACCTTTTCTCTTTGGTTGTCCGTGGTCCCCTACGTTTAAGTAAGGCTTCTTTCATGAGCACAGGGGAGTGTTATTTACTTGAGTAAGGGCACCCTCCCACAGTGACCACTAAGAGATATATGACTCTCCCTCTCCAGCAAATATTAGCAGCCTATAACGCCTCAGGGTGGGATGGGCCTCATGGACCTCTGCCCTGTCCATGGTGGGATGTTGATGGTCCCAGTCTTGTGCAGGTTTTGTTCAGGTAGCTGCTATGGGTTCCTGGGTGCAACAGCAATGCCATGTTCAGAAGACACCTTGCCATGGCTCTCCTTCCTGTTCCCCAGCTCCTACACTCTCCACCCACTCTTCTGTGATGCCCCCTGGGTCTTGGGGGCAGGATGTGTGTGCTGGTGCTCTCCACACACTCCCTGCTCCTGGCGAGCCTTTCCCCTGAGCTTTCTGTCTGCTTGATTGTCATTTGTTTCTCTTCAGTATTTCTCTTCATTCAATTCTATTTTCATCTATTTTCATATTCTGAATTCTATTTATTCAGCCATTTTTGTGCTTTTGGAATTCATTCAGGAGTTTATACAAGTCTTCTTTTACTTCTTTCAATGTATTTACAAATGGTTTTTTGATCTATTTTTTCTAGAGCTTTTAAATAAACTCTAGAAATGAAAGCATCTAGGCGCTCACTGGAGTACTTGTAGGACTGGCGATATTTGGAGGAGACATATTGTCTGGGTTTTTTTTTTTGTGTTACTTGTGTTTTTGTGCTGGGATCTGCCCATCTGGTTAGCTCATTGATTACGTTTTCTTTTTCTTTCTTTCTTTCTTTTTTTTTTTTTAACTCAGATCATTTTTCTTCTTTCAGTTGAGGTATTTGCAGCATTTCGGAGACACAAGGTTGTAGCAGGTTTGAGGTGATGTTTTCCTCTTTTAGACCATTGTTCATGGCACCAGGCTCTATCACCAGAACTCTACTTTGAGTTCAGAGCTTCTGCAACAGCAGTCACTATCCAATAGTAAATCTATTATGAAAATAGAGTATCCGCTGGCTTCGAAACAGTCACTCCTTAAGTACCAATTGTTTGGGGGAATAAGTAGCACTGTGAGTATCAGCATATTAGTTATTGTATGCGTGAAGAAAATAAAGAGAAAGAAGAAAGGGATCAGTGATCAGTATTAACTTGCTGGGTAGGATGTAGGGGAGGGGAGCATACATAGAGAGGGAATTGGTAGAGACAATAAAGTGTGTTAGGAAGATTTGTGAGTTTGAATTAAGGATAGACTGAAAAGAGAAGGATAGCATATCTCAGGAGGTTGAGCCACAGAGACCCTAGGGCAGCCCTTGTTCTTTGGGAAAAGTAAAAGAAATATGAAAGGGTAGTGAGAGAAGACTAAGCCGAGGCATGCATAAGTGAGAGATGGGGTGGCCTGCTATGGGGGTCTTGGGTACTATCTAAGTAAGGAGTAGCTATGGTGGGACAAAGAACAGGTTAGAGACTGGCTGTGGAACCAGATACTTGGTATGCTTCTGGAACTGAGGGTGACCTAGGGACGGGGCTGATGTTTTGCAACTCTCCTTTATCACAAATGGAGAAAGGAGTTGGGGCTAAGTCTCCACATGTTTCCAACCTCAGGCGGTGACAAAGAGTTCCAGTCAAAGTATTGATGGACTCCCTAACTTCAGATGGGGCCAGAGCTGGGGCCAAATTACCTTGAGCTTCCTATAACTCAGATGGTGATAGGGAGTTGGGGCCCAAATCTCAGCATGTTCCTTACCTCAACTGGTACTGGAAGTAGGGGCCTTACCTCAGGTCATCTGTGGAACTGAGTCCACTAATCCTTAGTTATTGAAAGGTGTGTATTCATTTCTGTTCTTTTTCTGACTGTAATACTTCTTGTTTTCCTATTTATTTCTTGCTTTACCTCTTATTTGAGAGTGGTCCACTCTTCCATGGATGTGTTTGTCTTTTTCTTCAGTCCAGAGAACTCCTTCAAGTGTCTTCTGCAGAGCTGGCTTAGTGGTCATAAATTCCTTAAGCCTGTTTTGACCATGGAACGTTTTTCTTTACCCTTCAATTATGATTGATAGTTTTGCTGGGGCACAATAGTCTGGTTGGCAGTCACTATCTTCCAAAACTTGAAAAACATCGTTCTAAGTCCTCTTGGCTTTTAAAGTTTCTGTTGAGCAGTTCTGATGAGAATGCTTTTATATGTCACATGGCAATTCTCCTTTGTTGCTTTCAAGGTATTTTTTGGTTCTGAATATTCAGTGGCTTAATTCTACTATGAGGAGTGGTAGAATTATATATTCTACCTTTTCTGTCTTATATATTTGGTGTTCTAAGTGGCTCCCATATCTAGACAGGCATTTCTTTGCCTAAGTTAGGGAAATTTTCAGTCATGATTTCATTGAAATTCTTTTTATGTGTTTGGAAAGGAATTATTCTTTTATACCTGTGATTCTCAGATTTATCTTTTCATAGAGTTAGAAACATCTTGAAAGTCTAGCTTGAACTTTTCAAATTATTTACCTTTTTCCTTGATAGCATGTTCTAATTTTTCTCTTTGTCGTCAAGCTCAGATACTCTTTCCTCCCTTTGGTCCATTCTATTGGTCAATTTTTCCATAGAATTTTTCCTTTGACTATGTTTTTCATTTCAAGTAGTATAGTTTGGATTTTCTCCAGTATTTCTATCTCTTTATTGAATTCTTGTTTCGTATTACGTATCAGTTCCCTTATTTCACTCATCTGCTTGCTTGTGATCTGGACTGAATGAAGGGAGAGGGCTTGTGCGTGCATGCATTCATCCTCTCTGCTTCTCACTGTGGACATGACTACTTCATGCTCCTGCTGCCTAAGTTCCTGCTGCCTTGACTTCTCCACAGTGGTGGCCTGTATCCTGAACTGTGAGCTAAAACAAACCGTTTCTCCCCTAAATTGCTTTTGTCAGGGAATTTTATCACTGCCCCAGCAAGAAACTAGGGCATCAAACAAGCCTGAATACCTTCCCTAGAGCCCATGGCGGAAGGAGATAGCTAACTACTTAGAGCTATCTTCTGATCTCCACATGTGCACACCTGAAATCACACCCCCCCCACAAAACCATAATAATACAATAAGAGTTTATTCTTTGAATTCTTAGAACATACTTATAGCCCCTTTTATAGTTCTTTTTCTGGAATATAACCTAATTCACTAAGTTTTGGAGGTATTAAGTTGCCTTTGCTTTTGCATTGAGACTTGAGCATCTGGAGCTAGGGCACTGATTGAATTTATTTAATTCTTACTTATTTTCACCCACCTGTATTCTCTCAGAGTGTTTACCCTGTTTGTGAGGTACTAGGTTGTTATTGCCAACCTGACAGGCAGAGTTAGAGCCTCCCAAGTATACAGAGCTCCTGGGGACAAGCCTCCTGCACACTGTATAACAGATTGTCAATAAGATTAACAGTAGAGATATAGAGGTTATTAGGCAGTGTCTAACCATCTGAGTTAGTGTCCTAGTTTGTTTCTTCATTGCTGTGACAAAACACTCTGACCACTACCAACTTGGGGAGGAAAGGGTTTATTCAGCTTAGATCTCCCAGGTCGCAGTTCGTCAGGGAGCCCAAGGTAGGAAACCTGGAAGCAGGAGCTGGAGCCATGGAGGCCATGGAGGAACACTGCTTACTGACTTGCTCTCCTGGCCCCTGCTCAGCCTGCTTTCTTATGCAACACAGGTCCACCTGCCCTGGGGTGGCACCACCCACAGTGGGTTGGGCCCTCCCACATCACTCATCAAGAAGATGCCCTCAGACATGGCCACAGGCCAGTCCAATAGAGGAAATTCCCCAACTGAGGCTCCCTCAACCCAGGTGTGTCAAGATCCCCGAGATCCCCTGGGCAGATGGCTGGGAGGAGCCTGACGGGCACAGGGCTTTCACGCTGGGGTGGGCAGTGGGTTCTTGGCATTCCATGTGAAGCCTGAGACCTAGAAGACCCAGTGTGCTCTCCTGTGAGTTCTTTGGCTGCGGGAGATGTGTCAGGCCTGGACTGTTTCTGCCTCTACCTATCTTGGTCTCTGCACAGCTCTGAAAAGATGCTATTCAGATCATCCTCGGACTGCTTGACCAGCAGAACTGCTCAGGAAAGGTTTTAAACAAAACTCTTGTGAATGATTTTCTCCAAACAATGCCACTTTCATGTAATAACTACCAGAAAGGAATAAATTAATTGGGACCATGATTAGGTGATTTGGGGACCATTATAAACTTATTCAACTGACAGGAATGAATGTGGTCCATTAATGACTGGTCCTGCCCCACTGCTGACAATATTTCCCACCTAGCATTTTAGACCAAATTCTACTTTACAATACTTATATAAAAAAATACCTGGTTTTCTTTATAAGGTGCCTACTTGGTATGAATTAGATAAGAAACAATAAGCTTTTAAAGTCAAGTAAAAAGATGCCATAAAACAGATCCATATATGGGGGTGTGGAATATGACTTTGCTGAGGCCATGAGTGATACAAGGTAAGCATCTTCTCTCGCCCTCAAGGAGCTTCTAATTTCTGATTTCTCAACTGGGCAATGCATACACCACATTTGTGGAATCTGAGATGTTATCCTTTAAAAGGTACACCATGGGGGCTGGTTAAGGGAACTTGCTATGCAAGCATGAGGACCTGAGTTCAGATCCCCAGCACACATATAGCATGCTGAGCATGGTCATGCATGTCTGTCACCCAGCATTAGTGCATTGAGACAGGCAGATCTTGAGAGCTGACTGTCCAGCTAGCCTTGCCTCAATGGCTAGCTTCTGGTTCAGTGAGACCCCTGTCTCAAGGTGACAATGTGGAAATTGATAAGAGAAAGACACTTGACATCCTGGTATGGTCTCTGTATGTGCATACATGGGCATGTAGAGCCACACTCACATATATGTACCATACACACAAAAGATGAATCATTAATCTATAGACTACTTGAAAACAAGAAAACAGTTTCAATTAGAGTTATAATATTACCATTGGATGTAACATTTATTCTCAGTTTCAGATATGAAAAAATATGAAATATGGTACTAGATAATAGAAATTTAAAAAATGTTTGGTAAAAATGACAATATGGCAACAACTAATTGAAGACATTCGAGGGGGATAATAGTTTCAATAGTCATTGGGGGCAGAAAATGTTTCTTTGAGGAAGAACATTTGAATGCTCTCCCTCACATGCAGATCCTAGCCTATAACGTACATGTGTTTATGTATAAATAGGTGCAAGGGTGGGCAAAGTATAAAGGAGGGTAATATTAGGTGATGAGGAAGAACGAAATGTAGGCAAAAGTTCATGGAGGATAGAAAGCTGTTTATTCCTTTTTCTAGTTTCAACTCCATCCTAGTTTTTTTTTCTTTGTTTTGCATGGTGGATAAATGAATTCAGCTTTCTGAATATTAAAGTAGCAAGAATCATAATAAAGACAAATAGATAATAAGTAAATAAAAAGTAGTTGCTAGTGAAAGTATGAAACCCTAAATGAAGCTTCATGGCTTCCGAATGGCCGTTTTACCTGTGCTGAAGTTCACAGAGTTGTGCAGGGTTTGGGTCTGGGCAAGTGTTTGAGGGCTTCCTTAAGTCAGGTATGTGATTATTTTTATTTGTGAGTTAGTTGGAATAAAATGATTTTAATTAAAATCATTTACTTGTGTCTTCTTTTTTTTTTTTTTTTTTTGCCACACATCCTCCCAAAAGGAATGAGAAAGTTACATACTGGTTGATTCCAGTTTTAGTTTTGTGGGGGAAGGCAGAGCAGTGTAGTGCTCTGGAGCCAATAGATCTGGATCATCCCAGTCTACTTAGGACAAATTCTTTAAGCATCATTTCAAGCTCTTCTTTTTGAAAAAAAAAAAGTGTGTGTGTGTGTGTGTGTGTGTGTGTGTGTGTGTGTGTGTGTATTGTATGCATGTGTCTGGGTGGGTGAGTGTGAGCCCCAGGATGCTGAGTTATAAATCTGTACTGCTGTGCCCAGCTTTCTACTTGGAGGCTGGGAATTCAAACTAGGGTCCTCATGCTTATGTAGCAAGTACCAGCGAGCCATCTCCCCAGCCTCTAAATTCTACGTTTCTTATAAATCTGACTGGAATAGTAATCTTACCTATCAGAGTTGGATCCTATGAGGATGAATGAAATCGTGTGTGTGGCAAAAAACTTGACATATACCAGGCTCGTAAAGAAAGCTGAACAAATCCATGGTATTGTCACCTGAAGACCAACCACAGGTTTATAGCCCAGGAAACTACATTGAATTTGCCCCAAAGGAGGTCTTTGTTTTGGAAAATGTTGACTCAGAGAGGTTAGATAGAGCTGGATTATTAGACACATTGAGGCTCTGTGGGTTCTGAAGAGAAGGCCCCAGGGATGACTGCTAGAAGACCTAGATTTCTCAAATTTGAGAATCTAATGAAAGACTAGTATATTCTATTGAATAGTAGAGATCATAATCCCATTTGTCCCCTCCTCTGTATCCATAGGTGACAGGTGGCAGGACATCGGGATACTTAGGGTATGTATGATCAGCAAATATCCAGGCTTTCAAAGCAGCGACTTCTGCCTCTAGTTACTTAGCGTCTGGCCAGCACAACTGTATCAGTAAAGAAAGCCAGATATCAATAGTGACAACATTGAAGTCATGAAAATAATAGCATCTATCAGGGATTAAATATCAGGTCCTTCTCTGTTACTCAGACCAGGTAAGATCTAAGGTACTTACCAGATCCAAGCAATGAGACAGCATGGAACAAGCAGTGTGGAGGTTCTGGGCCCCTATAAATAGATGTGGAAAGGTAAACAAATGCATTAGTTCTTGTATCTCAGTTCTGTGAAGCAAATCCACAGCTACTGATTAATTCTCTCATTTGATGTAATGATGGTCATGATCATCAGCTTATTCTGAATAAGTATTAATGAGGGATGTGTGTCTGTCTATCACAAACTGCCTATATGGCTCTTGTGCATACCCCGTTTGTTCCCAACTCTCTCCTTTTACCTACACTGTTTATTTCTTAATTAGTTTTCCTGAGACTGAAATCAAGGATATCAGGCTTCAGCCACCAAACACTATTCTGAACTGGATACCTAGACTTACCAACCACACTCACCACAGTATCAGGGAATTTCACTGGAGACTTTCTCTATGATAGTGTCATGTACTGCCAGAGGCATTCAAGGGGAGCCTCTCCTTACTGGAGGAGACCACGAGTAGTTTACCTTCATGTTCTTTCCTCTGGTGGCTCTTAAGAGGAACTGTATTTTTCTGAGTATCAGTAGTGATGGTTGAGATGGTTATGGTGTGGTTGGTTAGTCTTGAGTGTTCTCTTTCACCATGATCTGTAGTCTTATGACCACCTAACATCCCCTTCTCTACCGCTATTTCTCTTCTGAGTTGCCCATATTTATGCCCCTTTAAAAGGGTTGCATGTGATACCCCTGCTCTAGTTACTTTCTATTGCTGTGATAAAACACTGACCAAAACAAACTTGGAGAGAAAAGGGTTCATTGTATCTTACTTTTCCAAGTGATGGCCCATCGCTGAAGGAAGCCAGAGCAGGAACTTAAACAGGGCAGAAACCTGGAGGCAGGAACCACCCACTAAGGAATGCTGTGCCCAGCCTGCTTTCTTATACAACCCAGAACCTCTTGCCCAGGGGTGGCACCACACACAATGGACTGGGCCCCTCCCATATAACTCAACAATCTAGAAAACACCTCACAGACATGGCCACAGGCCAGTCTGGAAGAGGAAATTCCTCAAATGAAGTTCCCTCTTCACAGGCGTGTCAAGTTGACAGCTCAAACTATCCAGCACACTCTTGCATTCTACTTGATGTAGGAATCACCTCGCAATAAGCTGACAGCTGGCAGCCAGCCTCTGCCAGTTTTCTCAGGGATGCTGTTCTTGCAAGCTCAAGATAGCAGATGGCCTGATTGGATAACCCCATTGCTGAGGACACTCCTTTTGATCTGAGATCGGTTTCATCATCACTATCCATTTCCTGCTTCTGGCCTTTGGGAAGAGACAATAAATCTCACATTTACTGACTTCCTGTAATCGTTAAAGCAATCTTCGAGTTTGAATAGTTTCTAATCTTTAATAGTCCCTGCTCTTTCCTGGGGCTACTGGGAGAAAGTACCTTAAGACTATCAAAATAAGGAAAAAGAGAAACCAAGGGAAAAGGGTGATGGAAACTGTTTCCAAGTCCCAGAAAACTGAAATTCAAATAGTAAAGGAGTGTGGTGTACAATCCTCAGGGTTCTTGGCATAAAAGGTGATGAACAAATGCCAGCAACAAAACAAAAAAATGATCCCACGGTAAGAGGAGAGCCTTGAGGGTCAAGGGGAGACTTTACAATGGCCCATGATTCAAAACAAAAACAAGGTTGTAGGAAGAAATGAGAGGGAATCCACACTGTACCTCCACAAAAAGGAGGAGAGAAAACAGGGTACCACTGTCACTGGAAAGCTCGTTCACTTACCCAAAGGACTGCTTAGCAAAGACATTCCTTCCAAACATATTTCCCCATCTGGAAAACAGGCATTGAGGGACATTCCTTGACAGGCTGTGGATGTGGCTAGGTCAAAGTATTATCTCACTCAGTCATAGCAACCCAATGAAGTAGGTACCATTATTTTCCCCTTTATGTTATATAACTTGCTCAGATAGACAATGGAAGTTCTTGTATTCAATTCTTAGAGCCTGCTTCTCTTACGGCATGTACTCTCAACCTAACACCATCTTTCAAAGACTCTTAGGGCATAGATTCAATCTTTATAGTTCCCAGTGGATTAGCTTTGAAGCATAAATATACATACTCCTCTTGAAAGTTCTTTTTATTGAATTTCCAGAGGTATTAGACATCCTATGGTATTCCTTTTCAAGTTTTACTTTTTTCAAATTTCAACCTATTATTCAGCATAAGGAAGGAAATATGTTATTTTCTTCCAAAGTTGCTGTATTTTCTTTTGTTTTTCTGGTAGAAATACAGCTCTTGCCTTGAGAGCGCCAGCCGGCAAGTGCCAGTCGTGGTCTGTGGAGCCTGAAGACACAGTGCTAGAACTAATCACTGTCAATTCTCCTATGCAGGTTGCTTTTCCCTACATTGCCTTCCAAATTCTTCAGCATCCATACTACAGTGGCAGTCCACTATCTGCAGTTTCGTTTCCCATGTCTCAGTTACACATGGTTAACCATCACCCAAAACTGTTAATAGAAAAACTCGCAATTTATAAGTTTTAAACTTGCACATAGGTCTGAGTAGTATGCTGAAATCTGAGAAGCTCTTGCTCCATCTTGTCTAAATGTCGATCATCCTTTCTACCAGTATATACATGCTGAGCATGCAAACTGCCCAATGACAATTGAATTTTCATATTCATATAACTTTATACTCCAATTTATTATTAAAATCATCTGATTTCATTAGTTATTATTGTTAATTTCTTACTGCACATAATTTATGAATTAACCTTTATCATAGATATGTTTGCATAGGCAAACAACAGTATAGATAGACTTGGCTCTCAGCATAATTTCAAGTATTCACTGGTGGTGTTGACATATATGCCTCAAAGACTAAAGTCATCTTAATCCAGACTGGCCAGAGGAGGAGACTACGAACTCTAAAGTTTAGCACTGGAGCTTTGGAAGGTCAGTGGTGGCTGGCTTTCAGTTTTCTGTGGAGAAAATTAGCAGACAAATCTGCTATTTCTAATCTATCTCAAGATACTAGATTTTTGTTTTAAATGTGATCATAGGAATTTTGAATGGATAAATGGTCTTCCAGAAAGAAATTTCAATACCGATGATCCATTTATCACACAGAGAATCGTCAAAACTTATATGCCTATCTTACGCCAAGAAATCAGTTTGGACATTGCAAATTATTTACTATAAAATTTCTTCACATTTTTCTATCTTACTGTTCTGGCCAACACTTTTGACCTGTTACTAGTGTTCTTACCCTTTCTTAAATCTCTAAACAGTCAAACCAGAAACCTGCCATATTTAGGAATTTGCAAAGGTATTCTGTGACTCCCTCAGGATCTCTTGAATAAGGACAGTGCCTTTAAGCAAGAACTTCTGTGTCCTTGTAACTGGATACCTGTGGAGTAGAAGCTAGGCATGTTTGTCAACCTTAGTTGCTGCGTCTACACTTCATTTCCTTAGGTATACCTCTGCAATCACACTTGTTGCATGTGTGATAATTACGTATTTGCAAGCCTGTCTGTGCCTCTAGAGAGAGAAGCCCTATAGGAAAGGATCCACAAGTTGTCTTTGAATTTCCAGTGTATTGCACAGTTTCTGGCAGAAAATACATTGTCAAAATACTTGCTAAGTGAAAGAATGATTGTGATTCAGACTTATTGTTGAAACAAAAGTTCTGTTCTGCACAAAGCATTGACGTGGTCTTTCTGGCAATGTTGGACTTGGAAAACTCATATCCAGTTTAACCAAGGATGCTGGAATACTGTGCTGACCACATCCTGAGGATAAATTCTATAGTTCCATGGCTTTAATCATTTTTCTGGTGTACATCTGGCATGTAGGAAAACCCCACAGCAGTAACCGAGCCCTTAAAAATACCTTATTGACTAAACCATGTGTATGGAAAGTCTATTTTAAACCATGTACGTGGAAGGTCTAGCTTAAATATGCTTCAGTCTTTTGGGATTTAGGTAGCTGTTTCCCCTCTGACTAATAAAGTATTGTTCCTTGGCTATGACTTTTATATTTACATATTCCCCAGCCTTGGTTAACTTTACTTGTTTATATTTTATCATTGTTTATTCTAACCATTCATTTTGGAAGCCTCTTTGAATATTTTTGAAACCAAGGTGGGATCTGACTAAATAAATAGAAGGCACTGCTATGTTATGGGCATGCCACCAGGATTCACACTGGAGACTCTGAGGGAGGAATGGAGAAGTCTGTCCTTCCCACTGGTGTCTCCTGGTCCATCTGTGATCATAGATCATCCAATTCATTATTGCTTTTGTTTCTATTAATTCATATAGATAGTTGGGGATTATTCCTTTAAAGCTTGAAACTGTAATGTTTTTTGCTTTATTTTTTTCTAAAATGGTAATTTAATCATGACACTAAAAGAAAGAAAGAAAGAAAGAAAGAAAGAAAGAAAGAAAGAAAACCAAACCCCCAAACCCCCATAGCCAGGCCTTCTCAACAATTTTTTTTCCAGTTCATCCAGGGACTGGATGGCTTGGTGGTTAAAAGCACTGGCTCCTCTTGCAGCAGACCTGGGTTTGAGTCCTAGCACTCACATGGTGGCCAACAACTATCTGTAACTCCAGTTCCAGGAGATCTGATGCCTTCTTCTGACCTCTGGGGGCATTGCACAATATGGGTGCACCCATCTACATATAAGCATTACATTCATATCCATAAAATAAAAATAATAAATAAATAAATTTTTAAACACCAGTTCTTTCCAACTCCCAAAGTATTGCTAGGTTTTGTTCTGAAATATTGTAGGGCCAGGACGCCTCATTATAAAGTAGTAAATTCTTGAAAAAAAACAACAAACAAAGCAGACAGCTGCATACCTGAGATCAGCATCAAACATTGTCTGGGCTCTCACATGACTTGAGGATCAGGGAGGATACAAGCGTAGTACATGACACTGTGAACAGTCGAAATAGTCCTATACATTGGTTCAGACAGAATACCTGAGTTCATCAATAAGTTATGGGATCATGAACATTTTACTTAATTTTCCTAGACATCATTCTCTGACTCATCAACTAGAATAGATAGTGGGGCTATGGTAAGCTTCATTATCACATTCTAGAAATGCACAGAGGGGTCAATATATGTGAATCAGAAAATGTAATCCATCACATACATAGACTCAGAGATAGAAGCCATATATATATGCAGAAAGGCCTTTGACAAAATCCAACATCTCTTCATGATAAAAGTCCTGCAGAGACAAGGGAAGGAGGAACACATTTCACCATAATAGGTGCTATAAATGACAAACCTATCAGAATATCATGATAAATATAAAAAAACCTTGAATCATCCTCAATAAGATCAAGAATAAGACTAGAGTGTCTACTCACTCCTATTGGATATAGTGCTTGAAGACTTAGCTAGAGAAATAAGACAAGAACAAGAAATAAAAGAAAATGGAGAATTCAAAGTATCCCTACTTGCAGATGACATGATTCTGTAAACAAAAGACCCTAAACATCTACCAGAAAAGCTTCTAGAACTAATAAAACTCAGCAAGTGGCAGAATACAAAATTCACGCACACCTTACTATACATCAATGACAAACATGTAGGAAAAAAGTAAGAGAAACAGTCCCACAACACCACCTCAACAAGGAAAGACCTCTCCAGTGAAAACTTGAGAACATTAAAGAAGAAATCAAAGAAGATAATGCGAGATGGACATATCTCCCATGGTCGTGGATTAGATGAGTTAAAATTGTAAAATTGGCCATTCTACCAAAAGCGATCTAGGGATGCAGTGCAAAACCAATAAAAATTCTAGTACCATTCATCACAGAAACAGAAAAAAAATATCTTAAAAGTCATATTTTAAGGAAATAACACAGGAATAAACAAAGCAAAACAAACAAACAAACAAAAACCCAAAAGCTAGTCAAAGCAATCCTGAGTAAAATGCATACTGGAGCTCTCATCACCATATCTGATTTCAAGGTATATTACAGAGCCAGGGTTATAAAAACACTGTGATATTGGCACAAAGCAGGCAGATGGACTAGAAAGAGAATATGGCATTTGTCTTTGTTGGTCTGAGTTACCCCACTCAGTATATTTTCCCATCTCATACATTTTCTGCAAATTTTTTCTTTATAGCTAACAAAAATTCCATTGCACCATATTTTATTATCCACTCATTTTTTGATGGACGTTTGGACTTATTCCATTCCCTAGCTATTGTGAACATGGACATTCATGTATATCTATAATAGAGGATAGTGTCCTTAGGGTAGATGCCCAAGGGTGGTATAGCTAGGTCATATGGCAGTTCTGTTTTTAGCTTTTTGAGAAATATCCACACCGATTTCCATAGTGGTTACACTAACGTACACTCCTACCAACAATGAATAAGGTTTTCCCTTTCCCCTCGTCCACACCTGCATTCATTATTTGTTTTTCTGATGATAGCCATCCCAATTGGGGTGAGATGGAATCTCAAAGTAGCTTTAATTTGCGTTCCCCTGGTGGTTAGTGATGTTGAATACTTTCCAAATGCTTCTTAGTAATTCCTAAATAACATGTATGAAATAGTTAAAGATAAAAAAATTAAAGAGAATGAACCTTAGAAAAAAAGTTTATGGGGTTGGAGAGATGGCTCAGTGTTTAAGAGCACTGACTGCTCTTGCAAAGGACCTGGGTTCTAGTCCTAGCACCCACATGGTGGCTAACAATTTTCTGGAACTCCAGTTGCAGGGGATCTGACTCCCTCTTCTGACCTCTGCAGGCATTGCACAACACAGGTGTACTTACATACATGCACTCAAACACATAAAATAAAAATAAAAAATAAGGTTTACAAAGTAGTATCTCAGGAGTACATGTTAATAAAAGTATTATTTACCTTGGTACAAAATGATACATAAGAAAGAATTTAGGAGGCATATAGACCTGAATTAACGTGTTTCCAGTTGCATAGTTTGGAGTAAGACTTGACATCTGTAAGTTCCAGTTTTCTAGTCTCTACAATGGGTATATTAATGCCAGTATTGTAGAGCTCCCAGGAATATTGGTGGCAATATATGGGGAACATACATAGGAGTGGTGGCACACAGTGTAAGCTGAATGAGCAGAGGCTTTCACTCACTAGTCCTATAACATAGCAGTAGAAATAGTGTATGATTTAGTGCCAAACTGCCTACATCCTGTGGGTGGTATAGTATAAGTTGCACTGGGATCAGGTCCAGGACTGGAGCTGGTTATAGCTCAGCTAGTCCAGTTCTTCAACCTCCTTTGACTCTGTGTACCCATCTGCAATATAGGGAGATTGTACTCCATGTCTCTTCAAGTCCTTTTGGTTTATAATGTAGTCAAACAAACACTCTGGTCTGGAAACCAGCAGTAGTGTGCGTGTCCCTCTTGTTTTCCTTCTTAACACACTTCTCTCCTCTCATGCTAGACCCACCCAGAAGTGGATCAGAGGAGCTCCTGGACGACATTTGAAAAGTGCCCCCCTCCATCTAGAAATGCCATAACATCATAACATCATCGTTCTGTGTTTATTTAGTTTCTGATGAAGGAAATGTGCCTGTTTTATTGGAAACACCTTGTGGAAGGAGGCAAGGGCCTTTCCCCACAGTCTGGCAGCTGAGAACAGAGCTGTCAGCTCCATCTCACCTGTCCCCATAGCTGAGACAGACAAGGCCCCAAATGCTTTCTGTAAGTAAATCTTTGTGACGCTTCTTATGGACACAGTGCAGATTGAGCCCCAGCTGCTATTTCAGAACAAGGTAACTCAAACCACAGGCCTGGAGGGGAATCAAGGCAAATGTGGTTCTCCAAGAGGCAAGAGTTAGCAAGTGGCACCTTCCCATCTGAGCCATGGATTAAGAACACAGACTAGCAAATGGCCCAGTTCATAACGTAATCACAAACACCAGTCTTTAAAATGACCATGGACTTGGTTAGGCTACCTATTTTCCACAAATTGCATTTATTCTTTTTCATTCTTTAATAAACAGCTCAGGGAACTGGACATTAGAAGGTAGGTGGTACACATATGAGGAATTTCATCTGGCATCTTAGCTTTTCAGTCTGAGCTTAGGGCCAAAATTTGGAAGACAGAGGACTCCTGTGTCTGGTCTTTAAGCTCTTTCTTGGGCTCTGAAGTGAGCTTCAAAGAGACACACTGGGTGCAGAGGTGCCCATGCAGACTTGACTCGTGTATGAAAGTTTCCTGGAGGGCCCTTAACAACTGGAAAGGTAAGAGCAAGCAGCCATCTTGAAATAAAGGGCATCCCACAGAAGGTCAGGAGCCTGTGTCCTCTAGAAAACTGTCCCTGATGATTTTGCTTTTTAGATGATTTATAAATAATGTTTTCTGTGATTTATCCCAACTGAGCTTTGGCTTAGCGTGATGTTGTGGAAGTAACCAGTTAAGTCCTACCCCAGTTAGTTGGTACTACAGCTAATACCAGCAGTTTACATTCTCAGAACACAGATTCCTCATCAGTAAAATAGGAAACTTGATTCTCACAGCAAAGAACATTTCTAAGGATCATATATTTAAATAGTTACACGAAGAAGCTCTTAAGTCAGGCTCCAAACTCCCATTTATCACTTCTAGCTCTCTTGGCCTTGGACAAGTTAATACATCTTTCCCTGTTGCAGTATGGTTTTTATTTGTAAAACAGTGATAATAATAGCACTTGGCTCATAGGTGGCTTTGTGTGTCAAAGGAGTTAATGCTTGTAAGAATTTTGGAATGGTGGTTGGTACAGCGTGAGTCCTCAATAAAAGGGAGAGTTAACATTTGCTATGCATTACAGCGCTCAGCACAGTGGCTGGCATACCGCACACATCAATGACTCCTAGTTATTATGACTACTGGGTCTATTATTCACTTAGCTGAGAGAAGGATGTCTGTCCAAAAGCTCTCATTTCCTCACTCTTGACCTCCTGGTATGATTCAGACATAAGTCCCCTGAGGCGTCATCTAGTCCCTAAGGGTAGAGAAGGGAGAGCCGTGAGGATAAACCAACAGAGCAAAGATGCAGCTCAGGCAGCATGGGAGTGCTCAGGCCCAGGATCATCTGACCTTTCCAGAATGAAGAGAAACCACAGCAGCCCTTACTTTCCCTGGGCTCTCTGTGAGTCATTCTAAGCCATGCCCCTGGCTCCCAACCCATAGGGAAAGATGTTTGGAGCACAGCTAGAGTCCCAGGCTCCGTGCTTAGAACAGAATGCTCTGATGTGGTTGACTGGGCAAAGAGGAGGTGAAGATCCTGGCTCCCAGGGGCCTTTATGTCCCTCTGGTCTTTGAAGAAGCTGGGTACAAGTCTCAAAGACAAATGTCCTTTCCAGAGTGAGAAGGGAAGGCAGCCAGATAGTCTCACTTTGGCTTTTAGCATGACTTCTACTTTTTTCTTCTGAAATTAGTTCATGCTTTTTATTACTGTAGACAGATGTGTCTATCACTCTATAAATATCAGCTGGCCACTATGTGCTAGGTATAGTGCTAGGCAATACCCTCAAAGGGGACTTAATGAAATCCTAAATAACAACTGTATAGTATTTAAAGCATGTAATGTAAGTGGCTTACAATATGATGCGGGCCTAGTTAAGGGGGAAGTCACACATGGAGGGAGTCACTTCATGGAGGAAATGATGTTGGGGTGGTGTTGGTCCCAGAAACAGATCCACCCAAGTTAAGATTCCACTTCCTCACTTACTCTGTGATCTTGGAGAGGATTTCTTACTCCTGGGCCTTGGTTCTTCCATCTGCAAAATGGAGGCAACAGTACCTTTTGGAAGGGTTCACTGTGTGGACTGAGGGAATAGATGTAATGTGGTAATGTGCCAGGAACAGAGTTAACAAATGGTGGCCATTTGTGTTAGTGAAAGTCTGCAGATGCCTAAAAGTTCCACATGGGCATTGTTCCAAGATGGTGGCACATTTGGAATTTATTATTAAAGTTTTCATTTCATAGATGAGTCTAAAATCCTATAATCATGTTTCTGAAGAGTGTCAGGAGTGTCCAAGATTCATCGAAATCCACCTGGCAATGCAGCATCAGTTAGCAGGCTTTCATTGAGATGCTCACACATCGCCTCTTCTGATCCCTAGCCTTAGATGAGTTCCAATTCTATTTTCACAGTTTGGCTACATCCCAGATTTAGGGGAAGAGTAGAGAAACTGAGTTCTAAGACATTTTACAAGAGTTGGTAAGATGATTCCTTAGTAAGAAGAGTTCACAAGATGATTCCTTCAGTGAGAAATTCTATACTATTTTGGATAAAAAAAATCTCCTGCATGACGAATGACCATTCCTTAAATTGTTCACCAAGTATTTACCGAGTACCAGTGTGTACAAGGCACGAGCCATGTGCATTTGCCACCCTCTTCCATTTCCATGTGAAATGATCAAAATGGCTGAATCATCCAAAAGATTTCCGTACAAGTGCCCGCAGTCCCTCCCCTCTGTCTTCCTTGCCATCTGCCACCATCTTCATGGCACTTTGGTCTCCACTCATATTTTATGAGCTCTCTTTCTTCTCTCTCATCTCTGCCATGGCACATCTTCTAGAAGGTGTGGGTGGAGCCAAGATCAGGGGAGGTTGCCTTATGTATGTCTCTGCTAGTCCCCTGGGGTTATTTAATCTTGAATTCTCTATGGTCATAAGGGATTAGGTTTGCAGTTTTACATGTACTGTGCTGTGGTTCAGAGACTCTTGCTAAGCTTTGTACTACAGTACAAAGTACTACTACCAGGTAGCATGCTCTTTGCAGTCAGGGCACATGTCTTTTCATTCTTAGGAAAGTGTCCTCTAAAAGCAGGGTGTGTGGATTCATCCCTATAACCTCAGAATTTAGGAGGAAAAGGCAGGAGAATCAGGAATTCAAGACCAGCCTCGGCTACATGATGAGTCAAAGTCCACCTGGACTTTATGAGACCCTGTCTTTAAAACCAGAAGAAAAATATAAATCAATGTCCTCAAAAAAGTTTCAAAAATAAAAATTGCCTAAAATAGTCCCAAAGAGTATTTAAAACTTTCTTGGCTGAAGCATAATCAAGAAAATGTAGTTGGAGCACAGCAATGTATGTATGTTCATGAATTTGCCATTACTCAAAGTTAGCACAGTCCCCTCTGTCCAGAACAGTCTCAGCTAATTTTTGCCAAGTTAATGTGCATTCTCTCCTTTTAAAAAAAATATTAGATGTATTTTATTTTTATTTTCTTCACACAGTTTTGCCGGTGACTGGAATATATTCAAATAAAGACATGACAAAGAAGGTCAAAAGACCCAAATTCAGTAAGTAAAATCAAAATTCCTTGCTGGCTCTGTCTCCCACATGGAGGACTGTTACCCTTGTTTTACATGATGTGGAAGGGCGGTTTTTGGCTTGATTTGGCTTGGCTTGGGCTTTTGTTTCTATCTCAGTTGCTTTGCATTAAAACTAAATAGTGATGAGTCTTATTATCTTCCTCATTCCAGAAAGCATTTGACGTGAGTCCTGACTTGAAAGTGAGGGATTCTCCCTTTTTCTATCCATTCCATTTTCCCTTTCTGCCTTATCTCCAGGGCATGCTGGAAAGCAGGCAACTTTATTGGACCTTTGCATCAGCCCCAGAAAATATTCGGGTATGGGAAATTGAGACAATACTCAGATACCTATTCTGGATTGGCAATAGACCCTTAGAGCAGCTTGGCTTATATTTTGAATTTTTCAGGTACAATAGAACTACATTTTTTTTTTTGATAAAAGCCAAATATGAGTGCCCATAGCCTGGGAACACAGATTTAGGGCACCCTCCCATAGGCCCCTCCTCACTGGATTTCATGCATTCTATCATTTGCGTTAAAGCCTATTGAGTCACATTAATATCCCTAGACATCCCTCAGTGCAAGTTCATCCTCTGAGGTCTAGTCAGCTTATCTAGAATCCTCCCCTTAAGATCAGCCCTTCCTCACCCAGTAGCAATCAGCTGCTAATAGTTCTTTGACTAAGATTGGGGCCTGCTGCCTATTTCTACAGTTTTATGCTAGTTTTTTTTTTTCTGCTTGATCTTGCATGCTGACACCATTGCAGTATGCCTTGTGCATGCTGACACCATTGCTGTAAGTTCATATGAGCAAGGTCACGTACCTCCTCCCTGGCTCTTAATCTTCTTGCACCCTCTTCCACAATGGTCCCTGAGCCCTGGGTGGGTGGATTTTAATATAGGAGTGCTGTCCAAGGACCCACAGTCTGCAGACTCTTATTCTCTACACTTTGGCCATTAGTGTCCTTTTGTGTTCCTGGCCCTTTGTTGTATGATGGAGCTTCATTGATGAGAGTTGAGAGATGGCTCTAAGGCTAACAACCAAAACATGAAATTTTTATAGTTAACAGAACAAATAAAGTCATAAATTACACTTTCCAAATATAGTGATGGATGGGGTACAGCAAAATGAGGAGAACTGTTATGGGCATCAGGCATCGTCTGATAGCATGCTTAGCTCTTGTGTTGCTGAGAGCTAGAGGTCTGTTCATGGATTCCAAAGGAATCTTAATGATCAGAGCATGTTAGGTCACACATGGAGGTGGGCAACAGATGGCATGTTCAAGGAGCCAAGATAGCCCAAGATGATTTGTATTTGGCCCTGGACTTGCAACATTCCAACCTCTCTACAATAATGGAATTTCTAATCAGTCCATCAGCCTTTATAGAAGGCTCAGCGTAGATGTGGTTTCTTCTGGGAATTTCAGTTCCCAGCATCCCCGCCTCTGCCCGGGGGGCCATGCATCACATTCTGTGCATGCAGAGGCCAAAGAGTATTTGAAAAATTTTTTCATGTTCTTTTCTTATTGATAGGGAAATGGTCCTCATTACTAAGAGTTGATATAGGTGAGGAGGCCAGAAAGTGGTCTTTGGGAGAGAGAATTAGATGGCAAAGTCATTACAAAAGGGGTCATGCCAAGTCTTTTAGTTATCATGGTCTAGGTCTGATTTCTTTTCTTTTCCTTTTGTCCTTTACATCTGACATAACATTTACATGAGACATATATTAGGAGCATTATAGCTAAAATTAAAATAATCATGAAGACAATGTGGCCCAAGAAGTAAAGGTAGCAAATGAGGAAACGTGATTTAAGCAAATAAAAATTAAATATATATGTGTGTAAATATATATACATACATACGTATATGTGCATAAATATACACAAAAAACTATATGTATATATATACGACTATATATTTCCTTTTATATCTTCATTTATACTCTATAAAATATGCTATTTCATATTTGAAGTATTTAAAATAATCTATTGTCTTTCAATTTCTTATTTTTCCTTTTTGGCAACTTTGGTCTCATAATTATGATATCATGTAGAGTGGCTAGCTCTAATCTTTAGAAAAGATTGTTCTTTGATATCTAAATTATTTATGAACAAAAATTTGCTGTGCTCCATTCCCTTGATATTATACCAGCTTTTAAATTGGGAAAGTAAATGAAAATCCACATTTCAGAAGAAATCAGATAATACAGCATTATTTAAATTTCTTTTAACAAAATTTTCTTTTTTCATGTAGTGAATATTTTTAGTGACAGAGATAGAAATAAGAAGTTAGTCATGTCAGAAATTAGGATTTATAGACTTTGTGGGTATAACCATTTTTTAAAGAGTCAGAATGGGAAGTGGGACTCCAGTGGCATTCGCTGTCCTGGGCCTATTTAATTTTATTGGCAAAACATGAACATCACTTCCTTTCTAAAATTCCAATCAGTAGTGCTGCAGGATGCCTTAAATGCATATTTAATCAAGAAACATTGGGTCAAACCACAAAAAAGCCCCAGCATAGGGTAGGGACATGGGTAAGATGGGCCAACTTTAGCTGAGGAGCTATTGGCAACCGATGACTACTGGGAGAGGGAGAGTTGGTTTTCTTTAAGTGAGTGATCCTAGACAGGTTAACCAGGCTCCAGTGGATGGACCCACATTGAGGGCCATTTTGCAGATGTAACTTTGGCTTGTCAGAGAATTCATGAAATCTGGTGGTGGTGGGGTGCTATGGAGGTTGCAGATAGGGGGGAGGCTCTAAATGTGATCAAGATATATTTTATGAAATTCACAAATATTCAATAACTAATTTTAAAAATACATTGGGTCTTAGGGAATGGTGTTTTATAACATCATGGATGTTGTTATTATTAGAAACTAATGTTTTTCATATAATTTGGATAAGAAGAATTAAACCAAATCTTGGTGTATCTCTGATAAGAGTAAATGGAGTTAAAGTTGATATAAGGAAACTGGATTTCTCAGTATCCTATCAGGATTTTGAGAGTCTTTAAATAAAGTAATATATGTGTATATATATATATACACATATATATACACATATATTACTTTAAGAGAAACTTTATTGGTTTAGAAGTTTCATACAATGAATTCTCATTATACTCAGACCTCCTCCCCCATTTCCGCCCTCACCCTGCCACCTCCTATCCGCCCCCTTCCCTCACTTCATGTCTCCTATTAGCAAATGGAAAACCCCATCCATCTTACATAATACCTCTGAGCTGGGTGCTGGAGAAATCATATCTCATTAGAGTGTCAGTGATCTATACCCAGAGGTATGCCAAAATAAGTGCCCACTCCCTTTTCTTTGTATGTGATTTTGGGTCAGAATACACCCAGGTTTCTTGGAATGGGATTTTCACCCTTAATTTTTGATTATCTTCCCCACTGCTTAAGAATGCCAAGTAGGGATTTCTCTTTTTCTCAGCATTGAGAAACATTTGGTTTTCCTAATCAAAGTTAGTTGTTTGTAGCCCTTGCATGCTGGTTACACTTTGGCTGTTTCTGGTCCTCACTCAGCACAATGGCCCCAATATGGACCAAGTGTTTTCCAACAGGCTGATTCCCCACAGGGCTTTACTGTGGGTAAAAGCAGAAGCTATGTCTGCGTGGCAGGCAGCAACTAGCTCACAGACCTCCAATCTAAGATTCTCTGAGTGGCAGATAGGACGTTTCACAGCTTCACACGACAGCTTTACACCAGTCTCCTCCACTTTATCTTCTGAAATCTGTAGACTTCTTAGATCCCTAATATTGTTGAGGACTTCAGCCAGGTCTTGACAGACACTGGGTGATGATTATGGTCAGCTAACCATGGGTGCCACCAGGGCACATGGGTGGATAGGCTGGCTTGATTCCACCCCATCCATATGCATGGGTAGCAGGCCAGCATGGATCTACTAGTGTATATGGGCAGCCAGGTGGCTCCTTTTTGCCAGTTGGGGGGGGGGTTAGGCCAGCATGAGTCTGCCATCCTGGCTTCCCAGTTATTTCCCCTCTTACTTGCTAAGTCCTGAGTTCAGGATGTTGAGATCAATATAGGAGCATTAAGATTCTTAATAAAATGAAGAGGCCTGGAGTCATGTTTTAAGTCCTATTCCAAGAGTTGCCATCACTGCCATTGGTCTGGTTGCACCACCATCTTGGTTCTCTGATTATTTTCTTTCTTACTTGCCAAGCCCTGAGTTCAGAATTTTGAGATCAGTATAGAAGTGCCTATGGTCAGGTAAATATTCATGTTGGTCCATTGCATGCATTCAGTTTCTTGGGAGTCAGTGTGCCCCAGATGCTGAAGCCAGTTGCTCTGGGTGTGTCTCATTCCTATGCCATTTTTTTCCTCCCAACTCCATCACTTTGAGCTGTCTTGTCATATTCCTTCTTTTTAATTTATTATTTTTATTTTATGTGTATGAGTGTATTACCTGTGAGTAAGTGTACCTGTGCCATCCATTGCCCATGGAGGTTAGAGGAGGGCCCCATGGAGGTTAGAGGAGGGCATCAGATTCCGTGGAACTAGTTATGGATGGTTGTTAGCCACTATATGAGTGCAGGGAACTGAACCCAGTCCTCTGCAAGAGCAGTCAGTGCTCTTAACCACTGAGCCATCTCTCTAGTTCCTCATATTCCTTCTTGTATATATCAAAACTCATATTGAAAAATGAGTTCTGGGTTGCAAATAGGGATTATTTTTGCACCTTTTTTCATGTATTTGTCCACTAGCTGAAGAAACACACACACAAAGTGCTTTATTTCAACATTTTTAGTATCTATAGAAACAGTAATCCAATTGGTTGGATCGAGTTAATATTCTTTCTTTTTTCTTTATAGGAAAAGTTTGTTTTAGGCTCTAAGAGTTTTGATTTAAAATAGAAGTGCCCCCAAATGGAGTTCTTTATGGAAAATTTAAAATGTTTTTGGAAGGCTTTAAAATTTTTCTTTTTTAAAAAAATTATGTGTGTATGTGTGTGTGCATATGTGAGTGCAGGTGGCCTAGTAGTCCAGAAGAGGGCATCAGATCCCCTGGAGTTGTAGTTATGGGCAGTTGTGAGTCCCTGATGTGAATGCTGGAAACTAACTTGGGTCTTCTACAAGAGCAGTACATACTCTAACCACTGAGGCATCTAGCCCCTAAAATAATTTTTGTCAATTTAAGAGCTAGACTTTTAAAATTCAAATTATACTGAATAATGAGAAAATTCTCTTATAAAGTGAGAAAAAGTTTGAATCTTTTTAAAGATAAAAACTTGTTTCAAGTAAGGTAGAGGTCTGGGTAAGCATCATAACAGAAACATTACTAATTAAGGGACATGTTACCAGGAAAACTGAGGTTTCTTTTCAGACTTTCAGTCTCAGTAGTAAAAGAGTTTAGAAATGAACTCAGAAGAAAGCTCAAGGATTATTTTATCAGAGTTTAAGAGAAAAAAGTCGTGTATATTAGGTGAAAATTCTGGCAACTTCCAAAGGAGACAGATAGAGAAAAATTGATGCTTTTTAAATCAGGCATGGAATAGAAATAGACTGCTTATTAAGAGAAGAAAAAGCATTCCCAAGAATGGAAGTGGGTAGTGAGCTGCAGAAAGAGCTAGTCTTCAGCGGGGAGGCTTCCAGGTCAGTTTCAACTCTATTGCTCCAAGTCCTGTGTCCGAAGTTTGTCCTGTCCTCAGCAGTAGGGTCTTGCCTTCAAGTTCTGGGAGGCAGTCAAAGGCTGTGACAATAGCTTATATTATTTTGAGAGTCTCTTGGATTACCCTGACCAACAATTTGAAGGGATGTTCCCCTTGCCTGACACTGAGATTTTTGTTATATAGCCTTCAGCCATATGCATGCACTCACATGTATATTATATGTGTACTTTTCAGTGGGTTTATTAAATACTTCTGTCACTGACTTGGAGTAATGGAGTTGGAACTGACCTCGAAGCCTCCTCCCCAAATCTAGGTCTGATACAGAAGACGCTGTGCAAGTCACCAAGGGAGAAAACCAACAAAGGGTTCTATCTAGCTGTAACACCTATGAACCACGACAATGACTGGCCCAGTAAATTTTCTCCATTAGTGCAACAGTGGCACTTTTATCTTGGGAGTAGTCAACAGCTGTCTAAGGCCCACTCATATCCACGCATGATACTGTAAACACAGTGAAGCACACATGGCAGGAGAGGTCATAATTCCCAGGGAAGAATCTACTTTTTTCATGTTAACCTTGTAGTTTTTTCCAGTTCCTACTTTCCTGTGCCAGACACAATAGCATCCTAATTTGTAATTTCATTAAAACCAAGATAGTAGCATTGTTTTTTATCACTTAAGAATATAGTAAAGAAAATAAAAAGATTTAAGAAATACTCAAAGTGAGAGAAATGCTCAGTTATTTGGGATACACAATTGCCCATGTCAAAGGCACCATAACCAACCAAGGCTTACTAATTCTTTTTTAAAAAGTATTATTTTTGATTTTTATATGTATAAGTGTATTGTCTGAATGTATGTAAGTACACCTGTGTTATTGCAATGCTTTCGGAGGTCAAAAAGGCACAGATTCCCTGGAACTGGAGTTATGGATGGTTGTCAGCCACCTTGTGGGTGCTGGGAACTGAACCTAGGTCCTCTGCAAGAGTAACCAGTGCTCTTAACTGCCAAGCTAGCTCTCCAGCCCCAGGCTTACTCATTCTTAAGAGCAGTGGCCACTTTTTTCCCCAGGTTCCCCCTGATTGCCCTTAGAAGGCAAAGACTGTATGATTTTGGTAACACGATGCATTCACCTCTCCTTCATGGAACTCAGACGTTTACTTAGGTAATCAACCAGTGTGGATACCAGCCTCTTCTCCTACATGATATGCTCCATGAAGGTGGAGTTTGTTTCCATTTTTACTCAGCTTGCATCCTTAATGCCTAGCATACAACTGGTACTCAAAAAAATTCATAGAAGCAAATTGTTAATACTTAAATCAATTCGCAGTTGTTTACTGGCCATGTATTGTGGGAGGCTGTGGAGTTGTTGTTTAAGACTAGGTGAAAAGAAGTGTCTTCACAGGGTGAAAAGAATAGCTAACTCTTTGAATGTCTCATATAAAGACACTGTTCATTCAATCTCAAACCCCCATGACCAAATCACATCCTAAAGGCCCTGTCCTCTTTCTTAATGCCATTCCTTATGGGTTAGGAGGATACCTACATATCTGGGCACACACAAACTCTCTACTGAACTGTGCTGATTAGGGACAAAAGAATGTTGCCAAGCAGGGTCAGAACTAAATAGCATCACCAACAGCAGAAAGCTCTTGGAAATGACAAACTTCCTACTTTGGTTTCTTCTTGCTGAGCAAAGGAATTGTATCTCTAAATCTTTCTCTAGCAGTACTGGCTTCCCAGTGTACCAGGGATGAAACAGATTCAGATTCAGAAACTGTATGTATTGCAGCATGTGGGAAAGGATTGTAAAAGAACATCAAAGACGGAATTCAGAATGGTTATAAGAAAACTGCATTTCCTCCATTTGTTAGCCAATTGATTCATTGACTCTGTGCAAAGCACATGGATTAAGCTCCCAAAGTTGAGCCCCGGGATGGGAGTCCCTCATTCTGACATCTGTGATGGGTAGGTAGACTGTGGGTTTGGAAAAGACCAAATTCAGGTTCACTCCACAAATAGTAGAGGACTGGCTAGAGCAAAGAGAAGGAAGCAGTCTGGAGCAGCATGCCTCACAATCCTTGAACTAGGAAGAATCCATTTGTCTTTTTTGTAAAAGATTGGAATTAAGAACCCAACTGCTAGGGAGCAGGCCTATGGGTCTCTTGGGGTAAAGCATACCCAACACCTAAGTCCTTTAGAAACCCTGATTCATACAGACCCTTTGCTCACTGGACTCTGTCACAGTTCTGGCTCTTCAGGATGAGGTGCAGAGCTCAGCAGCTCAGTTCTAGCTCTGCATCTGCTTATACTGCAATTTTGAGCACTTTCTGATTTAAGTGGTTTTCACTCTGTTTAAGGGGAAAAATAGCATCTACCTGCTATGAGTTACTATAGAGAGTACATGTTAACAGTACAGGTAAAAGCTGTAAAATAGCTTCCCCACTGTCTTCACTTCGTTACTTTCCTATCTATTCCCTCATTTGTCCAACCATTTGTTTGTTGCACCACTTGCTAGGCTACAACCTCTGTGACTGCTATTTAGTTATTTATTCTTTCCTTCCTTTATTCTTTCTTTGCTCCGTTTGATCCTACTCTTAATTATTTTTGTTTCTCTGTTCTTTTTAGCAGTATTTGACTGATGTCCTGGTCCCTCTGCTCTCAGTCCCCCTACTTTGTCCTATTTCTGCTCCACTTTCTCCCCATTCGGTGTTTCATCCCAAGCTTGCCAGAGGCCGATCCTTTCACTAGGAGACATCCTCATCATTCTGATGAGCTGTGGGATGAGAAATGAGCACACTCACTGACTAGGACCCTGTGACTACGTCCACTCCTGGCTGATGGAGAGAGGGCCTGAAAATTCAAGCTTAATGAATAGTGATAGACTACAGCAGACGAACATTTATATAAGCACTGCTCATTTAATGATATAAAACAGGTGTTGTGATTCAGCTACTATTTGAAACTCAAATACAATATATAAGATATAGAGCCAGATGGATTAAAAGTCAGCGATGTCTCTCAAGTCTGTTGTGCGCTTTAGTCTCACCTCCAAAATGGTTGTTTTTGTGATGGGCTGGGAGACAGGTGACACGTGAGAGAACTGAGGATGAACTCACAATGACCCTGGAAGGACTCAGGATGCAAGGAGTCTTGGAACACTAGCTGGGTGCAGTGGCACACTCCTTTAATCCCAGCGGGCAGATCTCTGTGAGTTCAAGGCCAGCTTGGTCTACAAAGTGAGTTCCAGACCAGCTGGGGTTACAGGGAAACCCTGTCTCAAAAAGATAAAAAAAAAACAACAAAAGAAAAGCGTCTTGGAAGACAGTAGATGGGCTCCTCCTTTGCAGGACTGTGTACAGCAGCAGTGGACACAAACCAAGTTGACATTTAGCTTTCCACAGGACTCATGCTGCCAGATCTATAAAAGTAGAGCTCATCTAACTCAATTTGTACTTTAGATAAAATAGGGAATAATTTTAGTAAAGTATATTTAATTCAGTATTTGATTCATACATTTTTTAAAAGAATTTTTAAAATCTGAAATTAAAATTTAACTAGACAACCTGCATTGGATCTGCCAGCTCTACTCAGGTCCCTGAAGTTCTACCTTTTCTGCTCTTAGTGTTTGTTTGCCCTTGCAGTATAGTTAACTTTTGGCATATTTCCAAAGTCCTAAAAAAAATAATCTCATAGTAAAACCTGGATTTTCTTACTAGGATAAAAACTTCTTGAGGCAATATAAGACAACACTGATATATTTGACTGCATAAAAATAAAAGCACTACAAGTGGTAAGAACAACCATAAAAGGCAGATGAGGTAGCCCACCTGTACCCCCAGCCCTTGGGAAGTAGAAGCAGGGGGTTCAGAAGTTCAAGGTCACCCTTGTTAACCTTACAAAGCTGGACAACTAGAGGCTAAGTCTCAAAACGTCAAACAATGAAAATCTCAAAATACAGAAAAACAAAACAAAAAATAGGACAAAGACCTCCTCTTGGTTCACAGAATAGCTTTAAACCAGCCCTTCCCCATTTTAACCCAGGCTCATTAGAATAAAGGGCAGGCGCTGGAATGCTCATCAGGCTTAGTCTTAGATCACCCACAGCTGCATCAGGGGCC